GGCTGGTCCCCGAGTGTCGGACGCTTGGGTCGTGTCTCGGTTTCTCCCGGCGTTGGTTGTCGGACGCAGAGGCCGCACCGGGCGCCTCCCCACTCCGGGGGCGCCCCCCTCGGCCTGGTGGCCTCAAGGTGGGGCCCCGCGGACTTTGGAGCCACCAGGGAGACAGGAGGGGGCCGTTGCAGGGGGCAGAGTCCTCCCAGGGGGCCCTGCCGATGGTGACTTTTTTATAGCCGGGGCCCCTTGGCCTTGGGCCGGACACCGCCCCAGCCCCCACGGGGAGCTGGGCGCGGGCGCCACTACCCAGGTGGGGCCTGTCTGGGGACTGACGGGAAACCCTGAGCACAGGGGATGGGACCCTGGGTCCAGCAGCCCCTGCTTCTGCTGGCAAACCCGTCCCCAAGCTGGGCCCGTCCCTTTGGAGTCCCCATGAGCCTGGGGGTCCCGGGGGGTCTCCTCCTGACCTTCCCTCCCCCTCCCAAGCTGGGGCTGAGCTCCCTAGACCCACAGGGTCCCTCACCCCCTCAACGCTGCCCACGTGGCTCTCAGCCTGGTCAGCATGAAACCCCACTGACCCCAGTTTCTTGGGGGGTGGGGGGAGAAAATGACACGAAACAAGAATTTCCTGTTTGCCCTTCTGGGGCCTGGGGTGGTGATCACAGGTTTTCCTCCCCTCCCCCATCCCAGTGCTGCCTCCCTGCACCACCCGCCCAGGTCCCTCACCCCTGCACTGCTCCTGGCCACCGAGGGCGTCAGGGACCAGGACGTTGCTCTCATTCGTTCATTCATTCATTCACTCGTTCGCCAACATGACTGAGTGTCCCCTGTGACGCATGTGACATGAGGTGTGATGCTGGCTGGGGTAGGAAGGAGGGAGCCGTGCGTGCACAGACTTGGGAACTGGTCATGCAAAGGCCCTGGGGTGGGGAGGGGGCCAGAGGTTGCTGGGGAGCCCGGGGAGTCTGTAGCCAGGGGAGGGTCCCCCTCTGGCTTCTGAGTGGAGCAGGGTCTGGCAGGGAGGGAGGTGGGGGCAGTGGAGCCCCCACCCTCTCTGCCTCGGTTTCCCCTTCTCTGGAGTGGGGGGTGCTGGGCAGGAGAGACATTGTCCGCTCAGCCGTGGTGACCAGCCTTCCACACCCTCCGTCCCTGTGGGGCTGGGACCCCGGCGGCCCTGCAGGAGCCGTGAGCCGGTGCATCTTGACTTCAGAGAAGGACACATTGCACTGAGAAGTGAGGTTTATGTAACATGCATTTATTAAGCACCTGCGGTGCACTCGGCACGATGCTAGACACTGGGAGCAAGAAAAGAATCCCACGTGCTCTGGGACAGATGTGCAAATAAATCGCACGACTGGGCCGTGAGAGAGTGGCAGCAAGCGGGAAAACCAGCGATGGCGGGCTCGGTGCAAGTGTTTCCAGTGAGGACAGGCGCTGTCGCGGAGGCCGGGCAGCAGTTGGGGTGAGGGCTCCTCCTGGGGGGCTTGGGTGTCTTGGGGAGGGGTGTCTAGGGCTGTCAGCCACCCCAGCACCTGCCTTGCTCAGGGTGTGGACCCAAGCCCAGAGAGGGGGTCCTGGAGGTTTTGCCCAGTCTCTAGCCCGGCCCACGGTGCGCTGCTGATTTCGGAGCTTTCTGCTCCACCTTGGAGAGGGACAGCGTTCCAGCCGCAGAGTCCAGGTGGGGAGTGAGGCCTGGGTTTGGCACGGGGTGTTTGTGGCTTAGCAGTGCAACCTCGCAGCCTTTCGAGGACAGGCAGCCAGGCCCGCCGGCCCACAAAGGGGGCCTGGACACTGCCACGGGGAGCCTCGACACTGTCCCCTGCTCCCCATCCCGGGGGCCTTGGCAGCTGGTCAGGGCGGGTCGCGCCCTGCAGGGGAGCGGAACTGGAGGTCGGCTCTCCATAAAGCTGGGGCGGCCTTTACTGCCCGGCTTTGTTGCCGGCTGCCCACAGCAACGGCCATTAAAGCCGCCTCAGCTGGGGGGGCCCTGCACGTTCCCTCTTTATGGCCTCGGATCAATGCCCCGGCCCCTCGGGGGTCCCACAGTGCCCTGCCGCTGGCCTATTAGCCCACCACCATTTGGCCTGGGAGGGGGTGGGGGTGATGCACCCTCAGCTGCGCCGTTGCTGACCCATCATGGAGCAGCATTCCCTTCCCTGAGCCTCAGTTTCCCCACCTAGAAGATGGGGCTCACCCGGGTCCCAGGTGCTCAGAGGAAAGCTGTTGTGCTTTATCAAATACTTTCCTCGAAAGATAGGGAAACTGAGGCAGGAGGGGCGGTGAGATGTCTTGTGGTGGCTGGGCCAGGGAAGGTATGCAGGGAGCGTGGAACCCCCCACCCAGCTCTGAACCTCGGAGCAGGCTCCCCCCTTGTCCAGGAAGGCCCCGAGGTTCGCTGGGCCCTGTGATAGTGTCCCGGGGCTGCCGTGACAATGACCACAAACCGGAGGCTCAGAACAGCAGGAATCTGTCCTCTCCCAGTCCGGGAGCCCAGAAGTCCGCGTCAGGGTGTCTGCAGGGCTGGGCTCCCTCCAGGGGTTCTGGGGAGGAAGGGTACTGGATCTGGGGGTTCCAGGCCCTGAAACAAAAAAGGGTTAGGGTCAGGGTCCTTGGCTTGTGGCCGCGTCGCTCCAGCCTCTTCCCTGCATTTGTCTCTCTCTTCTTACGAGGGCGTGGGCCATCAGATGTAGGGCCCACCCCACCGCAGTGCGACCTCATTGCAACCCGACATCTGAGGTCCCAGGTGGACGTGAACTTTGTGGGGGACACGTTCCCCCCAGGACAGCCCCAGCTACGAAACCCTCTTTGCCCGAGCGCCTACTGTACCAGGCAGCCTCCCGTGAGTCTTCTGCCTCACTCTGTGCCCAGCCCAGCCCGCCGCGCAGCTGAGAAAGTCAAGGTTCACTCAGCGCAGCACATTTATTAAGCAACTGCTGTGTGCTTGGCCCCATCAGAGATGCTGGGAGCAAAACAGACAAAACCGCAGGCGAATGTGTGAGTCGTGGACTCGGGTGGTGGAAACGCTCTTTGAGAGGGTACCCGGGGCAGGGGTCGCACAGCCGAGGGGTCGCATATGTGGCCATATATGTGCATGTGCACGCATGTCCATGCATGTGTGTGTGTGTGTGTGTGTGTGTGTGTGTGTGTGTACCGGCGCTCATGGGCCCAGCCAGCCCGTCTACCTGCAGGCCCCACGCCCCTCAGGCAGGGAAGGGGAAACACGGGCCTCTCTGGCCACCATAAATCAGCGCAGGAATGCGGGCCGGCCAGTCTGGCGCTGGGCTGGCCGGTGGGGCGGAGACAAAGGCCTGGCAGCTGGCCCTCAGTCTGCCTCGACCACCCAGGGCAGAGGTCTGCGCCCCCGGCTGCCCCGGCCCCTTTCCCGAAGCCCTCGCTTTGTCTCCGTTACACAGATGGGGAAACTGAGGCCCAGGGAGGGGCAGAGTGGTTGAGGGGTGGCTGGGCCCTTGACCTACCTCCTCGGATGTCCCCGCGGCAGGAGCTGGGCGTTGTCCTCCTTGTCCTGGTTCCTTAATGATGGATCATCCCAGCTGGAGCTAATTGGTGGTTTCAAGGCCCCCTCCCCAATCCCAGCTGGAGCTAATTGGCAGTTTCAAGGCCCCCCACTGTCCAGCCGGCACATTTTCCGGAGCTTAATGTGAAGCCTGGTATTTGTCTCTGCCCCTCCCCGACAAATTGCCCCCCCGCCTGCCTGACGCTGCTGTCTAGTTATCTCTGCCGGCCTCGCACCCCACACCCCCTACCTACCGGCAGAGCCTGTGAGCTGGCAGCCGCGGGACCCCCTGCCCTGGTACCCCAGATGGAGGCCCTCTCCACACGTCACTCCTGGGGAATAAGGTCTCGCTCCTCCCTGACCATAACCCCGGCAGGCAGCGACTGCCATTTTATAGCTGGCGATCGAGACCCCATGGTGCCGGGCTCTGGTCTGGCACCTGCCATGATGCCTCAGTTTCCTCATCTGCCAAACAGGGCCGTCTCTTGGGAGCCAGTGGGCTTGTGTGAGACCCTCAGGACAGTCAGGTGGGCGCTGCCGTGGCACGAAGTGTGGCCCCCAGAACGGACAGGTTGAAGTCCTGGATCCCCGGTACCTGCAAAGGGGACCTTATTTGGAAACGGGGTCCTTACAGGTGTCTGGTCGCACGCCGGACTGAGGTTTTGGTTAAGGACGTGCCGCGAGTTTCGACGTGTTTAGATACACGAATACTCACCATCTTGTCACAGTCCCCCACGGTACTGGATACGGGAACGCACTGTGTAGTTTGTAGGTCGGAGCCGTGGGCCGTACTGGGTGCCCCGGCTGTGCGGCCGGCTGTGCCGTCTCGTGCCGTGTGGGCGCACCCTGCGTGTCACTGGCGACGCCTGGTTGAGCGATGCGCGACTGCAGTGCGTGCGAGGTTGGCAGGAGGCGAGGCGGCCCCGACTCCAGCGGGCTGCGGTCCTCAGAACAGGGGAGACAGGCAGAGACTGGAGTGACGCGGCCACGAGCCGTGGATGCCAGGAGTCCCCAGAGCTGGGAGAGGCGGGGCAGGGTCCACCCTGGAGCCCTGGGAGGCAGTGCGGGTACCCCGACACCTGGATTCTGAACTTCCGGGCTCCGGGGCCGTGAAAGGACAGCCGGCTGTTGGTTTGTGCTGTGTTAGGGCCCGGGAGGCCCCTACGTGTGCCTTTCTGTCTCGGGCCTCAGAGTCCGGTTCCCCATCTGCCCCGTGGGACCTCAGGAGATGCTCGAGGGCTGGTGTGGCCTCGGGGCCACACGTGGCCTTCTGGATCCTTGAGTGTAGCCTCTTGACTGAATCCACATTTTACAGAACAAACCCTTTTAATTTGTTCTGCGACATTTGGATTTGGTCGGGGGTGTCTGGGCCCTGGGACCCCCATTCCTGTCCCTGCCGGCAGCCCCCTCCTCCCGGCCCTGCGTGCAGTGGGTAGGGGGACGTAGTTCCCACGCTGGCACTGGCTAACCCGTCCCCTCTCTGTCCCCATAGCTCTACGAACTCGACGGGGACCCCAAAAGGAAGGAATTCTTGGACGACCTGTTCAGCTTCATGCAGAAGCGAGGTGAGGACCCCCCTGTCCCGCAGGGAGGTCACAAGAAATGGGGTGCAGTGGGAGGGGCCCTGCTGGCCACGGGTGTGTTGGGGCAGCAGTGAGCTCCCCTTGGCTGTAGGCATCCAAGGCTCCTGAGCTGGGAGGGACGTCGGAGATTTCCAAGGGGCACACGTGCTCTGCTGCAGGGGCTTGATGCGGGTCCCTCGGGGAGGACAGTGCCGGCTCCCTCCTTGAGCTCTGGGGTGCAATGAGGGGGTCCCCGCTACCGGGATCCCCCACAGCCTCTGTGTTTGGGGAGCAGGTCAGGTCCCAGCTGGGTGCGGGGGATGGATGGAACCCTCCCTGGGGCCTCGGATTCGAGGGTCAAGTCCTGGCCCCTCCTCTGCTCCCACCGGGGGCCTCAGTTTCCCCATCTGTAAGATGGGCTGCACACAGTCCCTGCTGTGTGGCAGCACCCCCAAAACTCAGCCACGAGCAGGCGCCCTGAATATGCCAAGGCAGGGCCGCTGGTATGTCATGCACATTTATTGAGCACCAACAGCGTACCCGCTGAGCCATCCCCCTGGTCTGGGCCAAGATGGACCCTGGACAAAGCCCCTCCCCCACCCCGGGAAGTGTCTTGTGACCATGGCCAGAGGACTGGGCTGAGGGCAGGTCTAGGCAGGCGTCCAAGTGGGGAAACTGATGCCCAGACACGGAGCCTCGGGGTGAGCGAGGCTCAGAGAGGAGCTGGTGGGGCGGGGAGGGCGCACAGGGGCCGGGGGGACCCGCTCCAGCCCCCCAGACGATCCCGGGGGCGGGGGGCAGTTGCAATCCCTGCTTTTCAGGGAAGGAAACTGAGGCCCAGAGCAGCCTGCAGAGGCAGGGGGGGTGGGGCGGAGGGTGACATCCCTATCCCCTCGCCACTGGTGTGGGGAGTCCAGCTGCCCTGCTTTGTCCAGACAGCCACCCGGCTCTGGCTTGGCTTCTGTAAACACAGGCCCAGCCCTGCTACGGCCCCCACAGCTGAGGGAAGGGAGGGGGGTGGAGGCTGGCCCAGAGCCACTGCCCAGCGGCCTGCATTAACCCCTCCCATGCCGGGGTGGAGGAAACCGGCCCAGCCCCCCAGGCCCTCCTGTGTTATCCTCTTAGCCCAGCCCTGGCCGGGGCCTGTGGCCCCTCATGAGGCCAGAGAGATCTGCGCCCACTGGCTTTATCACCTTGTCCGTGCTGCGCACCCCCTCCACCTCCGGGGCTCCCAGCTCCCAGGTCCAGAGCTGACCTATTTTGCTGGGTCACCAGTGCCCGGCACAGCACCTGGTATCCTGGGGGAGCCCCAGGTGAGTGTGGGTGAGGCTGGGGGCCCAGATGCCTCAGTCCAGCCCTACCTCCCTCCATTTCTGGAGGTCAGGAACCAACAAGCTCCTATACATCCCTCAAAACCCAGCCTCAAGGACCCCTCTTCCTTGCTGCCTTCCTGGACTGTCCCCCTCTGTAATGGGTGGGCCACTGGGGATGAGAATCTGCTGGACCCCCCACCCTTCACCCTGGACACCACTCTCTGCATCCCACAGGCACTTTCTCCTTCACTCCAGGTGGAGGGAAAGTAGCTGTTTTTCCGGCATCTCTAAGTAAAAGCTTTGAACCAAACTTCTCCGGGTGCCGAGGAGGGGTCCTGCCTGTGCCCCCTCCCTGCCACGGCAGCCTGACCACCTGACCCTGCTGTTTCCGTGACGACCTCCCAGCCTTTCCTTATCGGGCAGCTGTGCCAGGCCCTGCACCGCGCTCCCAGCGCCTCTGTAAACATCCTCCGCCCGCCAGCACGGGCGCAGCCTGGGGTTCCTTGTACTTTCCCGACTCTGAGGCCTGCGCTGGTGTCCTGGGGGGAGGGGGGGCGGCTCTGGGCCTTTCCGAGGCTGTCTGTGTGGCCGAGGCCTGCGCCGGCTTCTCCCTCTGTCTGGCTGAGAAACCGGGTCTGGGGGCCGTCTGGGGTCTGTCCTCCTCCACCCCAGGATGTCATTTCACTGGGGGTTTTGCAACCTGGGAGGGGCCTGGAAGTGACTCAGGGTGGCACGAGGTGGTTCTGGAAGGCGCGACATCAGGGCCCGCCCAGCCCCTCGCCCGAAGCTGGACCCAGTCTCCAGCAGGTCAGACCTTGGAGCCTCGGTTTCCCCATCTGAAGGGACTTACCTAAGGAGCGAGTGGTCAGCAGCTGTGGCCTGGGATGAGGGCCTGTCAGTCTTCGCCATTGCTTATTGAGTGCCTAGTGTATGCCAGGCTGGGTGCTGAGGACCCCTTGCAAGCAGGACGGGCATGGGGGCCACAGACGGTCTACAGCTGGCTTCATACGCCCAGGGTGTCACAGCCAGGGAGAGGGGTTTGAGAAGAGGGGCGGGGGTGGGGTGCCTGTAGCGGCTTTGGGGAGATGAGGCTGGAGGGATGTCAGCTAGCCCAGCGCCCTGCCCTGCCCGGGCTAGCCCACCACCTTCCATTCCCTAAACGGGAAATTGGGCTCACCAAGCCCTCCCCCAGCCCCGCTGTGACTGCAGATCTCCTGGGAAGCTGGCGGGAACGGGCCCTAGGAGGGCAGCGGAGTTGTTTTGGCAGCTGTTGTGGTTGGCAACATGCAGAAGGAATAACAAAGGCCTGAGTGTCTCGTGCACGTCCCCAGGTTGGCCCCCAGCGTCTCCCTCCTCTTTACAGCCTGCCTCCCACGCCGTGAGATTGGCACAGCTTACTGGCGGAGAAACCGAGGCAGAGCTGCCACCTTGGTGCTCTCTTGAGCAGCAGTTCTCACCCTGGGCGATTCTGCCCCTCACCACCGAGCCACATCTGGGGACATCTGTGGTTGTCACAACTGGGGCTGCTCCTGGCGTCGGGGGGGGGCCAGGGACGCTGCTCGGTACCTGCAGTGCCCAGGACGCCCAACCCCAGTGTCCACCCAGCCTGTGTCCGCCACGCTGACCGTAGACTTGCGCCGCGGCGCCAGCGTCCCCGGCTCACCCTGTCCCGCCCTCCCCGCAGGGACGCCCGTGAACAGGATCCCCATCATGGCCAAGCAGGTGCTGGACCTGTTCATGCTGTATGTGCTGGTGACGGAGAAGGGCGGCCTCGTGGAGGTCATCAACAAGAAGCTGTGGCGTGAGATCACCAAGGGCCTCAACCTGCCCACTTCCATCACCAGCGCCGCCTTCACCCTGCGCACACAGTGAGTGGTCCGCCGCAGCGCAGCAGGGCGCTCTGAGCAGCGCGAACGGCCGGTGCAGAGGGCCTGCGGCAGGAGGATCAAGGGGGCGGGAAGGGGGCTGCCAGTGGCCACAGAGGGCAGCTGGCCACGCCATGAGCCTGAGGCCCCAGAACGTCAGGCGGGGGGCATGAGCACCATCAGGCACGAGGTGACGCGGTCTGAGTGTGGAAGGGCCAGCCTAGGCAGTCACAGGGAACAGCATTAAGACAGAGGGAATAGCATTAGCTACTCTGGGGGCTGCCTGGCTAGTCCAGGGCTAGAACCCGGGATGGTGGCACCACGGTGGGGTTTTACTTTATTCAGAGGGCCTGGGGAGGGGGGGCCAGGTGCCATTCTGTCCCCTCGCCTCTGCCCACAGATACATGAAGTACCTGTACCCCTACGAGTGTGAGAAGCGAGGACTCAGCAACCCCAACGAGCTCCAGGCAGCCATAGACAGCAACCGGCGGGAGGGCCGGCGCCAGAGCTTCGGGGGCTCCCTGTTTGCCTACTCGCCAGGCGGGGCGCACGGCATGCTCTCCTCGCCCAAGCTGCCTGTGTCCTCCCTGGGCCTGGCTGCCAGCACCAATGGCAGCTCTATCACCCCAGCCCCAAAGATCAAGAAAGGTGAGGGGCCGTGTGGGGCCTGGGTTTTGATCCCAACTTAGCTTCAGCCTGACTGCATGACCTTGCACAGGATACCTTTTCCCTTCTCTGGGTAACCAGGACAGTAGAGCCAAGTGCTGGTGTGGCAGAAGGCAGGCCATGCATCAGTGCTATTCCCCTGGCAGACATTACCAATCGATCACCATCTCCCCAACCCACACAGGTGGTAGCAGACATTGCTAATCTGATCAATCTATATAAACAGTTATGTGCCACAGCAGACATTACGAATCAAACACAATTTTTCTATCTTTTGGCCACAGCAGACATTATTAATTGATCACTGTTTTTCCTGTCCACCCTAAATCAGACATCATTAATTGAACACTGCAGACTTTCCTAATCCAGGCATTGCTAATCAATCATTGCAGCGTCTGACCAGTCTTTATTCCGTAGCTGACACTGTTCGTTTCCAGGGATTTTTCCAGTCCCTTGTGCATGGCGAACATTACTGATTGGTCCCTGTGGTCTTTCCCTTTGGGCTTTAGAATCCTTCTCAACACAGTCCTGGCAGACATGGAAAGTGTAACGTAGATCTGTCAGATTCGCCCTTGAACCATGCCCGAAGCTATTGCTAGGTGCCCCTACTTAGGTCATTGCCTCTTTTTGAGCCTGGCCTTCCTTATGTGTAAAGTGGGGGAAACCCCCTTTTCTCTGTACAGTTGTTGGGGGGCGTTCAATGTGTAAAGTGCCCGGCGTGCAACCACCCCAGGTTTGCAGATACCTGACGGTGAGTTCCCGCCACAACCATAGCAGACAATCGATCACAGCTTTCTCTCCCACTGAGCATCTGAATCCTTCCTAACACGGAAGCACCAACAGCAGCATATGGCAATGTGACTTCTGTTTGCCTGTCTGAGTCCCTACTGCCCATCCCCACGCGGGCTGGGCTGGCCTGGCAGCTCTCTGTTCCCTACCATTGGCCTGAGGATCCAACGTGATCCCCACGGTACCCTGAAAACTAAGGATTGGTCACATATAAGGTGAATGGGTCTCGCAGACACTAGTCCATTTGGTTCTTGGTGGGCCTCAGTCTGCCCCTCCTAGCCTTGGGGAGTCTGGCAATACCCACTAATGGTTACAAAGCACCCACTGTGCGCGAGGCCCCGTGCTGAGCAGGGACAGAGGAGGTTGTGACCTGGTGGAGCTCTCAAGAGGGCCAGCGACTGCCCTGTTGTTGCAGTGGCAGGTCCACAAAGCCGGAAAGGCCAGTCGAGGCGTGCAGAGAGACACGCGTGGCTCCCGAGGAGGTGGCATTTGAGCCGAGACCAGAGAGGTCTCAAAATCTGACAGGTCTGGGGCCAAAGGTCTGGGGTGGGGAACCCAGCAAGCAGAGGCAGTGCCAGGCGCAGCTCTGGGAGAAAGCTTTCGAGGAGAAGAAGATGCAGCAGCTCAGAGTGGGACCAGTGAGCAGGACCCACGAGAATGTTCGTTTCCGCTGCAGTGGAGGGGGATGGTTAGGAACTAGTTCTGGAGTTGGGCTGCCTGGGCTCGAATTCCAGCTCTGTGACCTTGGGAAAGTTATCCATCCTCTCTGAGCCTCGGTTTCCCCATCTGTAAAATGGGAGTGATAAGAGTGCCTAGGTAGATGTGGGTTATTGAAAGGGTCCATCAAGGTGATTTGTGTTGAATGCTTAGACAAGACGTGGTAGCTCTTGTTTAACTAGTATTTTATATGATTACATACTATTACAGTCTCTCTGTGATGCCAGTGCCAAATACTACTGTAATACTGTTATTATAACTAGTATTGTTAGTTATAAGGTAACCCATATGCCATGGTGACCTTTAGTCACCCTGCTGTTAGAAGGGATTTTATAAGCTCTTATATCTGTTCCAAAACCTATCAACTTCCTTGGATAGGAAGTGAGCACCCCATCCATAGAGGTATTCAAGAGGGTGCACATTCCTGCCTCAGCTAGATGGCAGGGCCCAGTTCCCCCTGGCCACCGATTCCTCTTGTCTCCTGTCTAGAGGAGGACTCAGCCATCCCCATCACGGTCCCCGGCCGCCTGCCCGTGTCCCTTGCAGGCCACCCCGTGGTGGCAGCTCAGGCAGCAGCAGTGCAAGCGGCAGCTGCCCAAGCAGCTGTGGCAGCACAGGCAGCTGCCCTGGAGCAGCTGCGGGAGAAGCTGGAGTCTGGGGAGCCTCCCGAGAAGAAGATGGCCCTGGTGGCTGATGAGCAGCAACGGCTCATGCAACGAGCTCTGCAGCAGAACTTCCTGGCCATGACAGCCCAGCTGCCCATGAGCATACGGATCAACAGCCAAGGTACTGATCCAGCACCCAGACCCTCCTTGTCTCCCGCATGGGAAGCAAAATAAGGGCCTTGGAGCCAACATATGTAAAGAGTACCTACAAATCAATAAGAAAAAAAAAAACAGTAGAAAAAAGGGGTAGCTATGACTTGTAAATTCATATGAAAAGGTGGTCAACTCCATCCAGTCAGGGATCTGCAAATTAGGAAGGAGATATTGTCACCCACCCACAGCTTAATAACATCAAGTATTAGGCAGGATGTAGGGAAATGGGCCCCCTTGGTCCTGCTGGTGGGTGTGTGCATAGGTGACAATTTGGCAATGTTTTTTTTTTTTTCTGGTTGTGGTAGATGGGGAGATAGAGTCTTGCTCTGTGGCCCAGGCTAGAGTGCAGTGGCATCATCATAGCTCACAGCAGACTCCAACCTGGCCTTAAGTGATCCTCCCGCCTCGGTCTCCCAGAGTGCTGGGATTATAGGCGTGAGCCACCTTGCCTAGCTGGCAGTCTCTTTTAAGATAAAAAATGTGTTCACCCTGTGACCTGTTGCTACTGCCTGGCACCTATAGCAGAGAACATTAGTGCAGGTGCCCGAGGAAACATGTATTTACATGGGTGTTCACATCGCAGTCATTCACGTGATGTCATTTGTCATAGCGAAGCCTTGAAAAAAGCAAACTGTAGACAGATACGCTCTTGTTCAACAAATATATATCGAGTACCTGCTGTGTGCACTGGAGACAGCTTAGCTGTGATGATACAGTCCTCTCCTTTGCAATGCTGGTCTAGCGGGTGAGACAGACACGAAACAGAAAGGTTCCCAGATGTATTTATGATCCCAAACGGCCGTTTTTCTTCTCCCCACAGCCTCCGAGAGCCGCCAGGACTCAGCCGTGAGCTTGACCAGCACCAACGGCAGCAACAGTATTAGCATGTCTGTCGAGATCAACGGCGTCATGTACACAGGTAGGACGGCCCTGATCCTGCTTGGCACTGTGCTGGGCACAGGAAGGAGTCCACAAGCACGGATTCATGGTTAAGCTGAATTTTCCACTTGTCCTGTGTAAAAAAATGTGGAGTTGGGTGCATGGTTCACAGCGGCCACCAGGTGGTGCTGTCAACACTAAGCAGCCTGGTTGCTGCGTACGCAGTGGATAAGGCTAATGGAAGAGAAGCTCGCAGGAGGGCGTTTATGTCCTAGCAGGTCCAGGGGGTCAGTATACTCCTGAAATTAAAGGCAAAATGTGGGTACAGTCATGCTGAATCTTACAGGGGCGAGGGCCAGCGTGTACAGAGGGGACTAAATTCTCCACAACGTGTCTCTTCTGTCCTTGCGTTAGGAGTGCTATTTGCTCAGCCGCCGGCACCCACGCCACCCTTGGCTTCCAGCAAAGGCGGCGGTGGAGGTGGCAGTGGCAGCGGTGGTGCTGGCAGTGGTGGCGGGAGCAGCGGGAGCAGCGGGACCAGCAGCAGCAACCACCCAGGCAGCCGGGGAGCAAACACCGGGACCAGCAACAGCGGGGGCAGCCAGGCCGGGCCAGCAGGGTCGTCTGCAGTCCCCACATCTTCTACCTCAAATAACTCTACGTTGCCTTAACCGCCTCACTCCCCGCCCACCACGTCCTGCTCCCCAGGAGCCCGCCAGACCGGGCAGTGGGGGGGGTCGAGGGGGGCCAGGCAGGGGCCAGGATGGCGGAAGATACGGGTGGGGAGGGAAGCTATCCACAGAGGAGCCACAGCTGACGCCAAAAAGAAAAGAAAAAGATATATACATATATATATATATAAAGAAAATTTAATAAAACGGGGGAAAACCAAGGAACACTTGAATTTCTCAGGTTTCAGACATTCGGAGAGATGAATCGTGAGGACAGCAACATGGATCAGAACACAGAAGGAGGCAGGTCTTTCCGAGGGCTTTCCTGCGGGGCCCGGTGTCTGGTCGGACCAGCTGCAACGTCGGGCCAATCTTGTTTACCTCATACACCCCTGCACTGTGTGTTTTCATTTTTTTGTCGTTTTTCCTTTTTTTTTTTTTTCTATTCATCACACACTCACCACTCCAAGCTCCTTGTGTTGAATGAAACCCCTCAGCTGAGATCACTGAATTTTTTTTTTTTCTTATTGCTTTGGGAACTTTTTTTTTTTTTAAGTCATAGTGACATTCAAACTCTATGGGGACTCTTTTTTTTAAAATAGGTTTCAGGGGTTTTGTAAATATTCTTATTTTATTCTTGGGGGGGAAAGGAATCAAACGTTAGGAAGAGGAATATCTATATATCTATATATCTATATATATGTGTTCATTCAGGGAAACCGAACTTGAAAAAGCAAAAACAAACAAACAAAAAAGTAATAACCTTTTTGTTTTTCTCATGGCCGATATGGGTTCCTTTGTGCGTGTGCTGGGGTGCGTCGTGCAGCCAGCGGGCCCAGGAGGCTGCATCCGTGGGGCCAGAGCTGCCACAAGGATGAACTCAGGTGCTGCGGGCGGGGCCGGGCCGGGCGGGGGGTGCATGCCGGGCCGTGGGGGCGGGGTGACGCGGCTTGGCGACTGTGATGTTCCACGATGCTTTTCTTGCGCTGTGGTCTGCGGGGAGAGCGCCGGGCTCTCGCACCTGCAAGTCTTAATTAGAAAGTGTGGAAAAGGGGCCCGGAGCGTGGGAGGGGCTTCCCCTCGTCACGGCCCCCAGGCTCCTGTCTCAGGGATGAATGTGGCCGTCTGGGGGTTCTTCTCTTGCCTGTGAGGGCTGTTTCAGGGAACTGTCGATGTCGGGGAAGGGCGGTGAGGCCGGGCCTAGCTCAGGGTGAGGATACGGGGGGCCACGGCATCTGATTACCCCCCACCCTTCAACATTCTGGCTCCTTCTCTCTCCCCCCACTTCGGCACGGGGCCGCCCCGTGGATTGGGACCCCTCCCCCAGGTTGGAAGAAAGTGGGGTTCAGGGTGGCTGAGCTGGGTTTACTGCGGCTCCAGCTTGAGGGGGGCAGGAGCCCGGCAGCCCTGCCACCGGACGGCTTCCTGCGGGACAGCGCTGGGTTTGCTTGGGTTTCTCTTGGGGAGGACGGCGATTAGCTCAGCTGTTCCCGGGGTGAGTCCGGAGTCTCTATAATTGGTCCCAGGGAGCCCCCCAGCTCCCCCTACCCCAGCCAGTTGCCTTGGAGACCTTGGGGGGGTCCCCGGGCCCCCAGAGTCTGAGTTGGCTTTCCTGTCGGGCTGCGTGGTGTGTCTTTGGGGAGGGAACCTCTCTTTCTTTTCAGCTCTCAGGGTCGCTGTCAAGCAGCCCCGTTCCAGGAGGGGAGGTGGGCATCCCAGGGGTCTCCTCTTGTATTTTTTTCTTCTGGAAGGTTCTCTCTGCCCCAGCTCCTCCGGGGCAGGGGCCTTGGCAGCACAATCATCCCGGGGAGGGGGGTCTTTTTGTCCTACGAGGTTATCTTGCCCCCCTGCGAGAGCCACCTGGACTTGTCTGAAGTCGGCCTCGACACCGGCCACCTCCCAGGCCATGGAGCCCCTTGTCCTGCGAGGCAGGCCCCGCCCGGTGTGGGGGGTGGCGGGGAATGTCTGCTGCATGTTTCTTTCTACCTCAGGTCTGACTTTTGATGCCAAAAACCGCACCCCTGGGGCTGGGCCTCCCGTCCGTCCCTCCCGCGTGCTCTGGGAGCGGCAGTGGCAGGACCTCCACCTGTGACCCAGGCGGGTGCGTGGACAGCACGTGCTGTGTGTGCCTGTGCATGTGTCCGTCACGGATCCAGCCTCCCGGAGGCGGGCGGACGGGCTCTGACTCGGGGGACGTGGCCCACTGTTGGATCTGGAGTTCGCAGGGCAGGCGGGCCCTGGGCTGGGGTCTGGTCCGCTCTCGCAGAAGTAGCTGGAAGGCAGTGGCCACACTGGCCATGGGGATGTGAGGGGTCCTCGCGGTTGGACGGACGCTGAAGCCTCCAGGGTCCCCCAACTCGACTCCCTGCCACACGCATCTCCCGAGGCTTCTTTTTGGGGTGCGACTCAGCACCCCGCTATGGAAACTGGGCTGGGGAAGGGGACAACTGTCCCAGCCTGGAGGACCCTGAAGGCGTGGCTGCTGGTTGCAGGGCCGGCGGGCTTAGCTGCGTGGCAGGCGGGGACCCCGCACGCTCAGGGTCGGGAGGGGCTCATGGGGCCCCCATTCAGGAGATGTTTGTGGACAGGCTACTTCTGGAATCTTCCTGGGGACCTTTAGGGCTGGCCACGGGGCTATCTGGCTGTCCAGCTGTCAGGACAGGCGGGAGGGCGGGGCCGGGGTCGTTGGGGCCGGCTGGGTTAGTTTTTTAACACTTTGTGCATTTGTACAGTTGCATTTTTTTTCTTTTATCATTTTTGCCCACTTTGTTTCTTTTTTTTTTTCCCTAATTTTGCCTTTGCGTTTTTTTTTTTTTTCTTGACAAGCATGAATTCAGCCTTTCATTCTTGACCTGTGAAATTTCAGTTTCTCTGGGGTTTGTCAGACGGCGTGGGGACCACGCCTGAACTCAGGTAAAAGGAGGAAAAAATTTTAAAAACTTTAAAAAAAAAAAAAAGGTATAAACTACTCTCTCTACCTCTGGCTGGGCCCAGCCTGTCACACCAGGTGGCCTGTAACAATTTCAGTTTGTTTTTTTTTTTTTTTTTTGCAGAACATTCAGGTATTAAAAGGGAAAAAAAAAAAAAGACAAAAAGACCAAAAAAAAAAAAAAGTGTGTGAAATTTAAAAGAACACTGAAAGTTTACATTTTATAATAACATTATTATGCAGATTGTATTTAAACTTCAGAAATATTTAAAACAATTGTAACCCTGTAAAGCTGATGAGATATTAAAACAAGACAAAACACTTCTGACTTTTAACAGAAAACTGTCTCCTGAAGTAGTGTTTTTGTTGACATTCGACCCCGAGGGGACCCTGGGCGATGTCTGGGGACATTTGTGGTCATCACCACTGGGGGTGCTCCTGGCGGGGAGTGGTGGCTCCAGCCTGTGCCAACAGAGAGACCTGGGTCTAAGTCTTGGCTGAGAGGGGATGCCCAGCCACTCTGGGGTTATCTGACCGAAGCCCCCAGGGCAGGTAGAGGCCTAGTCCTGCCTCAGGACCTTTGCACGAGCTGTTCTTACGGCCGGAATGGACTTCCTTCCCTGCTTTGAGAGGCTCCTTCTCATGCCCTATAATTGAAACACACACAATCCCCACCCGCCCATGTCTGGACACAGAGGACATCCCTGTCCTATTTGGGTGAGACATGTGTAGCTCCCCGACCTCCGCCCTCTGCAGCTGCCCAGGTGGAGCATCTGGGGCTTCCAGGACGCTTTCATTCCCCTCCGCGGAGGGCGGCTCCGCCACTGCCTGACCCCAGGGACCCACCAGCTAGGCACAGGCGAAGCCTGTGGAGGCCGGGGGTTGGGGGTGGCAGGGGCCTTCTGCTGTTCACACCATCTTCACTTTTTACCTTTCCGCACCATGTGGCCCCAGGAAACAAGACCAAGGGTGGAATTTAGCCCTTGGGTGGCCACAGTCTGTAACCCCCAGACTGTCCCTTGGTCTTGGCCCCCAAAGAGAGCAGCAGGGCAGGAGGTTTCCGGGGTGTCCAAGCTGCCCTCTGCCCTCCCGTGCCCCACGCCCAGGGGACATGACTCGCTGAAGGTCAGTGTGGCCGGAAGGTGGGCAGGCCCAGACTCCGGCTGCCGGCTCCCCTGCCCACCTGCTCCGGCCAGGGCTGGCCTGGGCTGGTGCCTCCCCAGGGCTGCCTGAGGAGTCAGGGATAAACAACCCTCCCCCTACCCGTCCCAGCCAGTTGGTTCCCGAAACCAATTTTAAACACGGGGGCATTTTCCACTCCTGCCAGAAGTGCGTCTGCCGCACCTCGGCACCTCGATGCCGCAGTGTGGAGGTCACCCCGCCTGTCCCCCAGGGAGATAAGGGAAGAGCTATGATTTAAAAAAAAAAAAGGGCCCCTTTCCGACAAACTGGATGGTCAGGTCCTGTTCATTCCTCCCTTCCTGGCCTCCCCCAGGGCCCAGGAGGCAAAACTCAAAACCACATTGGATGAGCAGAGTGCAGAGGCTGCGGGGCTGAGACAGCCCAGAAAGAGAGGGTTTCCCTTGAGCCATCTGCCTTCCCCTCCACTATCAGCGCAGATTCGGGGAGGCCCCGGAGCTGCTGGGCTGGTCCGTGGGTCCCGGGAGCGAGATGGGTCTGGTTTGGCTCAACCATGCGTTCCCAGTGCTGCAAATAGGCGGTGCTCCATAAATCCATGGGGAGTGAAGAAAGCGGGGCTTATACCCAGAGGGGTTGTGTGTGTCTCTGCGCCTCAGTTTCCCTGTTCCGCTCACGACCCCCCAGCCCTTCATTCCCTTCCAGCCTCAGATTTGGGAGCAGCTGCACAGCTGGCACCAATGAGGTCTGGCCGCTGGGTGGTCCAGAGACGTCCCCAAAGTGTGCCTTTTGTCCGCTGCGCTGACACAACTGGTCTGTCCTCATTCCAGGAACCAGGCTGGGGGCGGGGTGACCTCTGACCTCGCACTGAAGCCTGGCCGGGCAGCGTCCCTGGGGAGGGGAGGAGGGAGGCGAACACTGGCTTGGCTGCTTAGCCAGCCGGGGGGCTAGGCCGTGGCAGGGGCCCAAACTGCAATCCATCTGCCCCGCTAGCGTCACCGGTCACCCGGGCATGCACCATTAGCGCCCCCACTCCGGCGGCTGCCACTTCTGTTGCACAATTGGTCCCCTGCAGCTCACACCTGCTGGGTCTGCCCCAGGGTCCTGGAACCCTGGAATCTAAAAACCCATACAGGCCAAATGTCCCTGGATGAGGACCAATCCCACCACCCCTGAAGAATCTTCCAAGGCGCCCACCACGGGGAACCACAGCATCCTCAATTTGCAAGTGGGGAAACTGAGGCTCAGGGCTGCACCGTGACCTGCCCCATAGCTCAAAGTGGTGAAATCAGCTGGGTGTGGTGGCTCTCCTCTGTAATCCCAGCACTTTGAGGGGCTGAGGGGGGGAGGATCGCTTGAGCTCAGGAGTTTGAGATCAGCCTGGGCAACATGGTGAGACCCCGTCTCTACAAAAAACAATTTTTAAAATATTAGCTGGGCATGGTGGTGCACACCTGTGGTCCCAGCTACTCAGGAGGCTGAGGCAGGAGGATCACTTGAGCCCAGGAATTGGAGGCTGCAGTGAGCTATGATGACGCCACTGCACCCAGCCTGGATAAGACCCCGTCTCTAAAAAATAAAAAATAAATTTTTAATAAAGTGGTCAAATCAGCCCTATGTCCCCCTGAGTTGGTGTTGGAAAGGTGTAAATTAGCATTCAAGGATTTCTCTTCCTTGCTCACACTTTAAAAGCAACCTTGGAGGAAACTGGAGGCATCAGCCAGTCCTTCCCTTCCCGGATAAAATCAAATCAAACCCGGGCTCCACTCACTCCCAACAGCCCCCTCCACAGCCCTGTCACAGGGCCTTTGCACAAGCCTCTGCCCGGCGCACCACGCCCTGGAGGGTGTTAGCTCCCTGCTCAAAGGCAGCTCCTGGGGGACGCTGCTCCTGCGGACCCCCAGCCCCGGGAGGTCCCCCGCGGGGGTCGCGCTCGTGTCTAGGGGACCTAGAGAGGGTTAGGGTTACCTTGCCCGGGCCTGCCCCAGCCGGTGGCTCACGCGTGCCACCTGGCGGCCGAGCCGGGCCGCGCGCCCCCTGCCCGGAGCTGCCGGGGCGCCAGGGTCCGGGGCAGGAGACCACGACTTTCACCCAAATTCTCCCCGTTCCAAGGGCTGTAAACGCATTTTTTGTTTAAATCCTGTTTTCAGACTTGGCCCGGGGCCGGCAACCGCGACCCGCGCTCAGGCGCTGCGCGGACAGAGCTCGCGACCCGCACTGAGCCGCCCGTTGGATATTCAAATTCGGGGACCCCAAAGCGGCGGGGTCAAAGGGGAGACGCAGGCGTCCATCAGAAAGCATTTAATTACGACGCACGGAGCGCCAACCAGAGACGCGGCGGTCAGGGCGCCGTCTGCTCTCCTCGCAGTGTCGCCTTCAGGCCCGTGAGGTCGGGACCTTGCTATTCCTATTTGCACATTAAAAAAGGACCCGAGAGGTTTAGTCACTTGGCCAAAAACGCCCAGCAGGGAAGGCCCAAGGCAGACCCCAGGCTCTGGAGCTACTGTCTTCTCGCAGAAGGCCCTCGGCCTTGCAGGAAGTCGCCTCCGAAGACCCAATCCGCCCGCGCGACCCCCAGTGCCCCAGTAAGCAGAAAAGCCCCTCCAACAGGGCAGGGCCCTCCCCGAAGCTGGTGCGCACGCGCGGGTCCGCCAGCCGCTGGCCCCCGCGCAGGCACCGCTCTAGCCCACGCCGTGCAGTGGTCCCGCGCCTCGCTGGTGATGACGCACATCCGGGGCGGCTTGGGAGGTAAGATGGCGGCGCCCATGGAGGTGGCTGTGTGTACGGACTCGGCGGCTCCGCTGTGGAGCTGCGTCGTGTGGGAGCTGCACTCGGGCGCCAACCTGCTCACCTACCGCGGCGGCCAGGCGGGACCCCGCGGCCTGGCGCTGCTCAATGGAGAATATCTGCTGGCGGCGCAGCTGGGCAAGAACTACATCAGCGCCTGGGAGCTGCAGCGGAAGGTGCGGCGGCGAGGGCCAGCCGCTGGGCTCCTTTGTTGGGGAGGAGGGTGCGCGGGGTGCCCGGGACCAAGGTCGGAGGAAGGGCCAGTGGAGGGGGTGGGCCGCACGCGCCCTGAATCAGGGTGGGGAGGTCTTGGTCAGGGCGCATGCGCAGGCCTGGGGGCTTTTGGAGGGAGGGAGGTGTGCGCCCTGGGGCGTTTGGGACCAGCGGGACACTCTGCGCACGCGCAGAGCTGTGGGTGGGCTACGGCCGGGGCAGTTAGAGGGGCTCTGGTCTCCAGGCAGCCGGCCTTGCGCATGCGCACATGTAGAGCTGAGGCGAGGCTGGGGTCCCTTGGGGCGACTGCGCACAGGGGAACCTGGAGCGCGAAATTTGATTAAGGATGCAGTGTGGGGTTGCGTGGATCTCGTGGCTTTGGAGGAAGAGAGAAGGTCTGAGGTCTGGGCACCTCCTGAAGGGGTAGCCCTAGCCCAGGAGACTCATACATTTGTAGATCACAAAGTGTGGCACAGACCTTCGTCATCCGCCCACGAATCCACCCCCCTCTGTCAGCAACCCCAAAATGCAGCCCCTGAAGCTGCCCCATCTCCCCCCTGAGATCTCTTGGGGCAGACTCTGTGCTGTGGCATCACCTGGTCAGACCCACACACAACCTATGCAGTGTACCCACTTTAGAGAGGAGGAAACTGAGGCTCAAGGTCATAGGTTGGATGTTAGGAGAGGAGGGATTAGGGCCCAAGCCTACTGGCCATTGGGCTCTCAGGCCCCAGAGCCCCCCTGAACCCTCTCTGGCCCCTCTACCCCCAACACTGGCCTGCTTATGTCCTCCACCTCCAGCCTTCAGAGCCTGCTGTGAATACCTCCTGGACAGACCGTGCATTTCCTCAAACCACCCTGTTCCCGACTCCTTTCTAGCGCTCGGGAGTCTGGTGCTCTAGACTAACCAGCTAGGTACCCCTGGGCGTCCCCTCCCCTCACCACCCTCCACTGCCGCTGGGGCCCCATGTCCTGCACGAAGCTCACGAGGCCTGTTGTGTGTCCCTAGGACCAGCTCCAGCAGAAGATCATGTGTCCCGGGCCTGTCACCTGTCTGACCACGTCACCCAATGGCCTTTACGTCCTGGCGGGAATTGCAGAAAGCATATATCTGTGGGAGGTAAGAGGATCGGTGCACAGGGGTTTTCACATAGGACACACCTACCTCGAGAGGGAGCCCACCTGAGTCTCACCTTCAGGGCACCAGGAAGCCACCATGAGGTTTAGATCCCAGGCCTGGGTCACCTGGACCAGTGATCGCTTGGGGGCCTCAAGACCCTTGCGAATCCCAGAGAGGCCTAGTCTTTAAATGGCCATGAATGCTCACCACGCAGAGTGCAGGGCAGCCTGGTCCCTGGCCACCCAGCTCTGTCCTGGTCAGAGAAAGCTGGTTGGGTGGTACGAAATGAGTGGGCATGGAAGCGTGCCCATAAAGCTTTATTTGCAAATTCAGACCTCCGTGGGGCTGGGACTGCAGCTGCTGGGTTGGCTCACTGGCCATGTTGTTACGAACTGGCCGTTACAAACTGGGGGGAGACCTGCCCGCGCCCCGTGTGGAATAGGGTGGACAGTGCTGGACGCCTCCCCCAGGGCGCTGCCCAGGGAACTGTGTGCCCAGCTGTGAGGTCTCTGAGTGACGCGGTATCCAGGGCTTTTAAATCTCAGTCTATGATTTTGAAACAAGGATGCAGTTGCTTGGGCACAGAGGGAAACTGAGGCAGGGAGCCATGCCTCACAGGTTGCCCATCACTATAGAAGGCCTCATCTTGGTCACTGACAGCCCGGTGCGAGGGACACAGGTAGAAATGAAATGGCTCATGAGATGATGGGAGGTGTCCTAGTTCCTGAGGGCCTGTCTGTGTGCGGTGGGGCAGGGTGCTGCCTGGCCGGGGCTCCCCCAGCCTCCTGGAGAGTTTTTGACCCATATGAGCTGTGGCCACAAGAGGGCACCCTACATGGCCAGCCAGAGGCCAGAGCTCAGGCCAGGGGTGGCCTGGCTGTACCTGCCACCGTTGTGGGGTGCAGGTGAGTGGAGAGAGAGGTGTGAATCCTAACGCAGGGCTGTGGGCTCAGCGGCTGGTCTGTCCCTCTTGCTGGCACCTGGTGACAAGGACCTCCCGGGGGTGGGTGTGACAGGCCCCATGCTGGTCCCAGGCCTCAGACTCCGAGACAGTAGAGGTCACGTGAGCTGGCCTCTTCGCAGTTTGGGGTTGACCCGGAACCCATTTAATCTGGTACCATTCAGTCCTCCAGTCCCCTGAGTTAGGCCTGTCTTGCAGGCCAGGAAACCCAGGCCCGGGTCGGGGGAGGTGGCTTGTCAGCCCCCGGGGGCTCCAAAGGCACAACAGAAACATATGCCCTCCCAGTTCTGGAGACCAGAAGTCCAAAATCGAGGTGTCCGTGGGGCAGCGCTCCCCCACCTGCCTCTTCCAGCGCCCGGGGCGGCCAGCAGTCCTTGGCGTTCCTTGGCTTGTAGACGAGTCACTCCAGCCTCTGCCTCCATCGTCACATGGCCTTGTGTGTGTGTGTGTCTGTCCAAACCTCCCTCTCTTTACAAGGACCCCAATCGCATCAGATTCAGGGCCCACCCTGCTCCAGCCTCATCTTAAGCAATTATGTCCGAAAGACCCTATATCCAAATAAGGTCACGTTCGCAGGTTCCAGGAGTCAGGACTCGAACATGTTTTGGGGGACGTACAGTTCAGCCCATAACAGCATCTCTCCCCACCCCGACCCTTCCCGGGCATCCTGCAGTAGGTTTCTCCTCCTCCCACCGCCCCGGCACCTGCCAACATCCCTCTTTCTTAGACTGAACCGCCAGCCTTCCTGCGGTGCTCGAGTCACCCACGCCGGGGGCAGCACCCCCAGCCCTCTGCCAGCCACTGTCACAGCCTGCCCACAGGCGACTTCCCATGGTGACCAAACAGTCCTGAGGAAGACCATAAGGTCAGCCCGCAGGTCCTAAGTGCAGCCGTTCCCGAGGAACCCACGTGGGAAGCCCTGTGCCGCCTCTGCAGTTGGTCCTGGGCCAGGGGTCGCCCACTGGGGCGACCCCATGCTGTAGTGGCAGTGGGGGGTGCTGGGAGCTGCAGCCCTGTGTCCTCCCCTGACCCAGTGCCCCTGCCCCCTCCCAGGTCTCCACCGGGAACCTTCTGGTCATCCTGAGCCGGCACTACCAGGACGTCTCGTGCCTGCAGTTCACGGGGGACAGCAGCCACTTCCTCTCGGGGGGCAAGGACTGCCTGGTGTTGGTGTGGAGCCTCTGCAGGTAGCGCCCGGGACGCGCAATCCGGGGTCCCACTGGGAAGCCGTGCACCGAGGCGGGGGCAGAAGGGGGCTGCGCCTGGGGGCTGGAGTGCAGAGGACGGGGCGATTGTCCAGGGGCCTGGCTGCCTGCGTCGGGGTCCAGGATGCTGTGGGGCCCATTCTGGAGTTGACTCGGGTGAGGTGGCAGATGCCGGGTGCAGGCAGGTGTGCAGGCAGTGAATGCAGGAGGACCTGGCCTGGGGGCCGCACCCCTCCCCTGCCCTCCCCTCCTGAGCTCCTGCGCCTCCCCCAGTGTGCTGCAGGCCGACCCCTCCAGGATCCCGGCCCCCCGGCACGTCTGGTCTCACCACACGCTCCCCATCACAGACCTGCACTGTGGCTTTGGGGGACCTCTGGCCCGGGCGGCCACCGCCTCACTGGACCAGACTGTGAAGGTAGAGCCCGCCCCACGAGGTCTGTGAGCCGCAGGCCCCTGGCTGGGAGCAGTGACTCGCCGCCTCCCCCGCTGCTGTCCGTGCTCCAGACAGCTTGTAATCCCCGATGCTCTCAGCCCAAGGACATCCCCAGAGGGCGGACAGTGCAGGTCTCTGTCAGCCTGGAAATTCCCACTCAGCCACCCGCGCCTGGCGCCCTGGCCAAGCCTGGGGAAGTTTGAGGGCATCACTGCCCTTGAGTCTTGGCCGGGGGTCCGGGGAGGGAGACCCAGGGGTCACTGGCCCAGGGAGGGAGCCCCGTTTCAGGACAGGCCGACTGCCTCAGCCCCAGAACAGCGTCTCCCGGTGGGGGCTGGCCCGGCTCGCAGTGCCCGTGCCCCGGCCCCTGTGCCCACTCGGCCCCCACGTGCCCCTGCCCCGCAGCTGTGGGAGGTCTCCTCCGGCGAGCTGCTGCTCTCGGTGCTCTTTGACGTGGGCATCATGGCCGTGACCACAGACCTGGCCGAGCACCACATGTTCTGTGGCGGCAGCGACGGCTCCGTCTTCCAGGTGGACCTCTGCACCTGGGTGAGTGGCCGGAGGGCGGCGTGGGAGGACTGGACCCTGCGGGTGCCAGTCCCTGCTGCTCACCCCCACGTGACCCCCACAGCCCGGGCAGAGGGAGCGGAGCTTCCAGCCGGAGCAGGACACCGGGAAGGTCTTCAAAGGGCACAGGTGGGGACTTGGCCCAGGGCTCCCAGGTGTGTCCTGGGGGCAGGGCGCTGGCACCCTCCTCAGTGCACCTGAGCAGTGGGACTCTGACACCTGCCTGTCCGCCCCAGGAACCAGGTGACCTGCCTGTCAGTGTCCACTGATGGCAGCGTGCTGCTCTCGGGCTCCCACGACGAGACCGTGCGGCTCTGGGACGTGCAGAGCAAGCAGTGCATCCGGACAGTGGCGCTCAAAGGTGGGGTTCGGTGTGTCCCCGCGGAGGTGCGGGAGGGTGAGGCGGGGCCGGGGCGGGGCCTGACCGCTGCCCGCCCCCAGGCCCCGTGACCAACGCCACCATCCTGCTGGCGCCCCTCAGCATGCTGAGCTCGGACTTCAGGCCCAGCCTGCCGCTGCCCCACTTCAACAAGCACCTGCTGGGCGCCGAGCACGGCGACGAGCTGCGCTGCGGGGGCCTCACCCTGCGCCTGGGCCTGCACCAGCAGGTAGGGCCCCTGTGGGTGCCAACCCCCCCGGCCCTCGGGAAGAACCCCCAGCTCTCACCCTTCCCTCCCTGGGTTCTGGCGCCCACGGGGCTGGCTCCACCCTGGCCGAGTACCGGTGGGTACGTCCTGCCGAGGGAACGGTGACGACGAGGTGGCCTCCACACGCCCTCGGTAACCATGGTCACTGCAGTGCGGACTGGAGGCTCCGGAATGTTACCCCCCTGCCGTGACCCTGGAGGGCCAAGCTGCCCACCCCACACGCCCGCCTTCCTTCCGTGGGCGGCTCCAGGACGCTCAGTGAGCTCTTTCTGCAAAGGGCCAGGGCAGAAGGGTTCCTGTCTGGGCTTCTGAAGGTGCAAAAGCGGCCCTGGGTGCAGGGGGCGGGGGTCCTGGGGGACCTGCAGTTCCCCAGTGCGCTGGCGCCGCCTCCCAGCCCTGCACACACTTTCCATCTGTGGGGACGGACCACGGTTCTGGGACGTTCCACGCGGTGGGGGCAGGCCTCAGGACACTCGTGGGAGCCAGTGCGGTGGGCTGGGGCGAGCCAGGGATGGGGGCTGAGGGGTCCCTGGGCTGCCAGAAGCTTCTCGACGACCTTCAGAGAGCTGCCGGCATCCTTGGTGTCTGGTGTCACTGTCTCCCTCGCTGGGCTCCGGGAACTTGGCACTCCTCACCACGCGGCTGCCTTCCTACGTGAAGTACAAATTGATTTTTTAGCTGAAGGGCGCCCGTCCTGCAGGCCCCGCACCCAGGAGATGCCGTTCTCTCTGCTGGGAGACCTGCGTGTGGCTCTGTGTCTGCCCAAACCCGCAGGCAGCAGGGACAGAAGCCGCCCACGGTCTGGCCGTCCATGTGGCAGCCTCTCTTGCCACCTGCTGGGCCAGGGGCATGAGCTGGACTGGCTGCTGGCAGCGTGGGGAGGGGGCACCTGAGTTCCAAAAGTGCTGGGACCCTCCGGAGCGAAACCGGTCTCTGCCGCTCGGTGGCGTTTTGTGTCCTGGCCCTGCCTGCTCCAGCGGGGCAGCTGTGGCTCCGGCGGTTCGTGGGAGATCGTGGCCAGGCCTTCCAGCGGTGCCACCCCCTGCCTGGTTCCCTCCCTGACCCCAGGGCTTCTAGCTCTCTCTACCCCATGTTCCCAGCCGGCCCCACCTGACCGTCCTCATGGGGGGCCTGGCTGCACTCAGGCCGTGCCTTGTCCATTGCTGTGGAATCACCTGAGGCCCCCGGGGGTGTCGGCTTTCCTACAGACGGGAGTGGGGGCACCCATGCTGGGCGGGTGGTCAGGCTGGCCCCCAGCCCCCACAGCCACGTCCATCTGCCCTGCCTGGTCCCTCTGCTCAGAGCAGTGGCCTAGCTGGGCGGTCAGGCTCCCCCTGCGGACTGTCCGCAAGGCCCTTGCCCGGCCCTCTGTTCTGGAGCCTTCTTGACTCTGGTCTGGTCCTTCACGCCCCATGCTGTGCTGTGGCTGGTCCCAGGTGCAGAGGCCCAGAGCAGATTTGAAGAGTTGGGGGCACGTTGTGGGCTTGGGGGTGTAGCCTGCAGCCTTGAGAGGGTTGGCAGTCACCCCCACCCCGCCTCAGTCTCCCCTTCTTTTGGGGGCATCCTAATTAGGATGACGCGGGTGCAGCGCGGGGTGTGAGACAGGAGCCCCGGGGTCACCTACTGGCCCCTTGTGTTGCAGGGCTCTGAGCCCAGCTACCTGGAGCGGATGGAGCAGCTGCAGGCGGTCATGTGCAACACCATGGAGAAGGTGGGCGGGGCTCAGTCTCAGGGGGCGGGGCCTGGCTGGTGTCTGAGGGGGTGGTGCCCCGCCCTTGGTCCTACTCGGGGGAATGGGTGACCCTCATCCTTGCAGCTGGGGTGGGTTGTCCTTGGTCGCCTCTGTCCTCTGACCCCGTGCCCCTCCCCCAGAACGTCCTGGGCGGCCAGGACCAGCTGCGGGTCCGTGTGACCGAGCTGGAGGACGAGGTGCGAAACCTGCGCAAGATCAACCGCGACCTCTTCGACTTCTCCACGCGCATCATCACCCGGCCCGCCAAGTGAGGCCAGGCCGCTGCCGGGGCAGACCCCGCCCCAGGAAGCTCCCCCAGCCGAGTGCAGTCCAGGCCCCTGCGCCAGCCTAGCGGAGCGAGCCTTGGCGGAGGTGGCCCCCAACGCTCCGGGGCCAGGCTCGCCGAGCCACTCTTGTGTTTTCTTTGGGGTTTTTCCTCCTGTGATTGGGTGGATTTGTCTCATGTCACTGCACTGATGTCTTGTGTCACGTTAGGTCATGTTGGTGCTGGTCTGTTTTTAACAAAAGATGACATGAAAGCTATCCTCTTTGGCTGGGTGTGTGCCCCGCGAGGCCTGGTGGCCCGGTGCTCGGGGCCCTCCTGGGGCGGCAGAGGCAGGCCTCAGCTGCACTCCGCCACGAAGAGGCAGATTTTAGATCCAGTATCCAGGGACACTGCCATTCTCTCAAATGGGTCTGCTGCCTTGTCCCTAAGACCAACCCGGTCCCCTGTGGAGCGGCGTCTGAGTGGTGACGGCCACATGGGGTCCCAGTCCACAGGGGGAGATCGGTCTAGAGAGACCCTGGGGGCCGGCCCAGGGGTGAGCAGTGCTCCCCCCACTGCAGCATCTAGCTCTGAGTGTCACAGGGGCCCCTGGTCCTTGCGTGAACCCACCACTCTGGAGCTGGCTGGTGGAGGGGGTGCCAGGTGTGGCCTGGGACTGGGCGGGCACCTTGACAAAGGCTCCCGCTGGCCATGCCTGGCACAGAAGCCCCACTCCTCCCCGCCTCCCCAGGACCCGGCAGCGGCCCCTTCCAGCATACAGTGGCTTGAACGCTGTAGCAGGGCGTTTCTCTAGGAGGAGACATCTGGCCTTCTCAGGCAGGGGGTGGCTCACCCCACCCAGCGAAGGTGGGTCAGGGCCGCGGTCCCCAAAAGGGACATTCCTGTTGGCATCAAGGTTTGGAGGAGGCTGGGCCACCCACCCCCCCACTGCCATGGGGAAGCTGCCAGCTGCAGCCAGCATCTGGAGGCAAGCCCAGACAGCCGCGGAACCTTCCAGAAGCCTGCCCCCGACTGACAGCCCTGCTTAATGGTCCAGAAAATCCATGTGATTTAGCGGGTGCTGTAATAACTGCGGCCACAAGCCAGCCGCCAGCTCTGAGTTCATGCTTTTAGGCTAATGCGTGTCCTTGTTTCCAGCTTCGGGGCTCTGTGCCCTCGTGGCTGGTGGCCCGGCCGGGCCATGCTGCGTCAGGACGGCTGGGGCCTCGTCCTCTCCCTGCCTGGTGTCTGGTGGGCAGGGCGCCACTGTGTTCCCATCCCTGGCTGGGGGCGAAAATGGAGACGTCACCCTGTGGGGTCAGGTCCTCCCACTGGCCAGGCTCTGACTCTGCGGGGCAAGGTCCATGCCCCCTGGGTGGTCGCTGCCAGTCACACCCCAGCCTAGCTCTCTCCTTTAGCTGACCCCAGGTTGCCCCTGTGCCAGAATTAGGTGCTCACTCTGGGGGCCTGTGAGGCTGGGCCCTGCCTGCCGGGAGCGGGCAGGTTTTGGGTGACGCGCCTGGGGGACCCTGTGGGAGATATTGACAGAAGCCGTAGGCAGTAGCTGGCATCCCCACCCCTATCTGCATTGTTGCCCTGGGGGGCTGTTCCCTCCGCCCCCTTCCAGGTGCTCCCCCGACCAGCGCGTCAGTCACTGACCTGAGGTCTGGTCGGGTTAGAGTTCACCTCGCAGCAGCCGGCAGGCCCCACCCCCACCCAGGCCCCAAATCACCTGCTGGCCTCAGACAAGCCGCACCTGGCCCTGAGACTTGGTTTTCTTACCTGTGACAAGGAGACTGTCCCTGGTAGGTCTGCCCGGAGCCCCTGGGAGCTTGGCAGGTGCACGCACCTCGAGATCCTTCGTTTCCCTGTTTCACGTGCACGTTCCGCAAGGGGGCCTTGGACACCAGCCCCTATCGATGCTGGCTCAGTGTCCCCTCCCAGGGCATTGTCACACTGGGGGCACCACCACACAGAACACAGCGGAGGGGGAGATCTCTGCGTAACTTACACGCCTGGTGAGATGGGACAATGGAGACCCCACAAGGAACCTGCTAGGCGCTCTGCAAGCCCGTAAGGAGGAGGCACAGGAAGGCCCAGCAGCCAGTGCTCGTGGCGGGGGGCGGGGGGTGACCCTGGTGTGCTGGCAGAGCCTGAGTATGCGCAGACCATGGCATGCTCCTGGTGGCTTCACACCACCAGGAAATCCAAAAAAACAGAAAATAGCAAGTGTCCGCAAGGATGTGGAGAAAACAAGGCATCCACTGTGGAAAACAGTCTGGCTGTTCCTCAAAAATGAAACCTGGAATTAACATTTGAGCCAGCAGTTCCAGTCCTGGGTTTACGTTCACAGCAGCATAAGCGACAACAGCCGCAGGGTGGGGGCGGCACACGTGCCCATCAACAGGTGAGTAGACACACACCGGCACATCACTCGGCCATGAAGAGGGACACGAGGCTCTGACACAGGCCACAGCGTGGGTGGACCTTGAGGACGTCGTGTTCGGTGAGAGATGCCAGACACAGAAGGACACACAGTGTGAGACTCCGTTTATGTGAAACGTCCAGACCAGGCAGCTCCACAGAGACAAGATGTGGATTCGTGGTCAGCAGGGGCTGGGGAGTGAGTGTTTCATGGGGACAGAGTGTCAGTTTGGGAACATGAGAAAGTTCTGAAGATGGAGGGCGGTGATGGTTGCGCAACCACGTGTGTGTACTTAGTGCCACTGAGCTGTGCACTTAAGAATGGTTGAGATGGTACATTTTATGTGTATTTTACCACAATAAAAAGATTTTTTAAAAAGCCTTCCTGTGTTCACATGTTCAGCCTGCATGGCAGCTGGGAGTAGGAACTCCTGTTGCCCTTCTGTGAATGGGGAAACTGAGGCACAGAGCATGAGCCAGCACACAGCACTGTGGGTGACTAAGCGTCAGCTGATGGCATCTCCAGCCCCGAGCCTGTCCCAATTTCTGCGGACTCTTGCTCCGTCCTAGGAAACTGGCCCCAGGGAGGGGTTAGCCCCGGCACCTCACCCAGAACCAGGGCAGGTTGGGAGTCTGGGGGCCCTCGGGCAGCAAGGGGCCCAGAATCCAGGACCCAGGGGGACACCCTGGTTCCTGGGGTACCTGGCCAAATGGCTGAAGGAGGTGACCTCTCGGTCCCTGGAACGGAGCCACCCAGCCCTCCTGAGTGTCTCAAAATTCAGTCCATTTTGTTGGCTGGTACTTGGCATTTTGTTCATTTAATGGAGTTTTTTTCCTTCCTCTCCAGCATTGGCACCAAAAGGAGATGAGGTTTGTGTGTGTGTGAAAAAAATCACCCAAGTCTAGATCCATTCATCAGAGCTGACGTCCCCGCTGCCAGGAGGGATCTTGGGAGACGCCCAATACTTGCCGCCTCTGCCACCCCGGGAGGACAGGATGAGAGAATTCCATGCGGGGTGCTGCCTGGGCAGGAGGAAGTCCTTCACTCCCTGATTGGGCCAGCCGGCATTTATGAAGCGCCTGCTGGATGCCAGGGCCACGGAAGGACCCCTGGACAGCTTGGAGATTGGTAGACAATGGGGAGCTACAGAAGACTCTGGAGCCATGGAGGAGGGTAATGGAACCAAACATCCTTGTTGGGGCAGTTCAAGCAGCAAGCAAGTATAGAGTACCTACTGTGTGAAAGCCCTGGACACAGAGCAGCTACCAAGCCAGACCCACCCCCGCCCTCCCAGAGCTGAGTCCAGGAGAGGGTCACTAAACAAGGCAAATAAACAAACAAAAAGCCTGTGATGGAGATAATGTCAGCAGTGGGTGCTTAAATGGGGTGGGGGTGTATGTGCATCTTCCTGGGTGGCAGGCAGGGAAATTTTTCCAGAGCAGGGCATTTGGCACTGGGTTTTGAAGGGTGAAGAGGAGTCTTCTGGTCCAAGTTGCCTGCCAAGGGCTGGAAGGCAGGAGATCTACTTTCTAGGTTCCCATCAAACATGCCTCAGTTTCCCCAGGATGCACTCCATGTTAGAGCACCCCCATGGGTTGGTCTGGTTAGAAACTGCTCCCTGGAAGTGGGAGGCTAACCTGACCCTTCTTGGGCCTCCACATCCCTATCAGAGCAGGGGGGAACATTCCCAGGTTGGGGCAGCGAGGGGCCAATTTTAAAGCGCAAAGTCCCTTCCTGGCGCGGAGCCTCCGTTTCGTCTCCAACCTGGCTCAGACCACGATGGGAGTGGTTAGGGGAGCCCAGCCCCTGCCAGGTGTGGCTATCAGCAAACGACCCCTCTGAACCTGCTTCCCGCCCTGGGCACTGGGTCCCACTCCTCCCTAGTGGGTAGCTGGCGCTCGGGGACCGCAGGCCGAGAGGGAGGGAGCGGGTCGGCGGCCCGGCAGGGAGGGGTGCCCGGCGGGGCGGGGAGCGAACGGCTGGGCCAGGTCGCGTTCCCCTCCCCTGCGGTGGCACAGGCGGCTCCGCCCCCCGGCGAGAGGCGCCCGCAACTTTGCGATGGAGTTTGTGCGGGCGCTGTGGCTCGGCCTGGCGCTGGCGCTGGGGCCCGGGCCGGCCGGGGGCCACCCGCAGCCGTGCGGCGTCCTGGCGCGCCTGGGGGGCTCCGTGCGCCTGGGCGCCCTCCTGCCCCGCGCGCCCGTCGCCCGCGCCCGCGCCCGCGCCGCCCTGGCCCGGGCCGCCCTGGAGCCGCGGCTGCCGCACAACCTGAGCTTGGAGCTGGTGGTCGCGGCGAGCCCCGCCCGCGACCCCGCTTCGCTGGCCCGCGGCCTGTGCCGGGCGCTGGAGCCGCCGGGCGTGGCGGCCTTGCTCGCCTTTCCCGAGGCGCGGCCCGAGCTGCTGCAGCTGCACTTCCTGGCGGCCGCCACCCAGACCCCCGTGCTCAGCGTGCTGCGGAGGGAGGCGCGCACGCCCCTCGGCGCCCCGGTACGCGCGGACGGGGGACACCCAGGAGGCGGGATGCTGGGGCCCCGGGTCCGGATGCGGGAGTCCTTGGGGATGCCCAGGAGGCAGGAGGCGGAGGGCAGGGGTACCCGGAGTCCGCATGAGGGGGATGAGGGAGGCCCGGGACTGCCCCAGGAGTGCGGAACCCGGGCCGCTGGACGCAGGGTGCTCCCGGGGCTCAGGGACGGTATTCAGACGTGGAAGACCCTGGGTCCCAGGAGCGTGGGGTTCCCAGAGCTGCAGCCCCAGGGCACAGGGACCTAGACGGGAGGCTGGGAGCCCCGCCGGACGCCCTTGGACCCTGGATGCCCAGACACACAGGACCCCCCTCGGGAGTGGAGAAATGCCCATGCAGACCCCTTCCTGGGGCCCTGGTTATGGAGACCCGCCACCACGGCCCCTGCCCCTTTGCCCGCTGACCCTCCCTGGTCCGTGGGTGTGGGGCGTGGGGCTGGAAGGCAGGCAGGACTCCCTCCTGCTCCACGGGGTGCACAGTTTCAGGCTCTGCGGTCCGGACCGGGACCCCCCTCTGCCCCTCCCAGAGGCCTTCAAGGCCGAGCCCTTTTCCCCCTCCGCGCCCCGCAGCCTCCTGGGTGCCCCTCTCAGGTCCCCAGAGCGACTCCCTTTCCAAACCCCGCTCCGTCCTCCACCCGCTACAACCTCGCAGTCCCCCCTCCTTGATCCCCGGCCCAGATCCTGGGAGGAAACGGGGCAAGGAGAAGAGAAGGGCAGTTGGCTGGGCTCTGGGAACCCCGTTGTCCCCCAAAGACCCCCCTTGTGGGGCCAGCAAGGAGGGGCTCAACTCGGGACATGGGGGCTTGTCAGGGAGCTGGGGAAAGGGGGTGGGCGACGGCTTCCCTCTAGGGGAGGGGAGACCCCAACCCTGGGGGGAGTCTTGTTAACCTGGATCTCCAGGTGCCCAGGCAGGTCCCCCACCCCGCTTCCACCTGGATCTGGAGAGAGAGGGAGAGGACCCAAGCCCAGGCCTGTGGCACCCTCTGCTGCCGCCTCCAGGAACTGCACCATGCCCGCCTCTTGGAGGCTTGGGACCCTCCGGCTTCTCTGGGGCTGGACCCTTAGGGACGGGGCGGGGTGGCTACATTCCCCAGCCCATCTCCCAGCACTCAGCACCCTGTTCCCACCCTGGGCAACACCCTGCGCACCTTAGGTGTCTGGGAAACCTCTCCCATCTTCAACTGGGCACGGCAGGGCACTCCTGTGTGCCGAGGGGTCCTGAGAGGAAGCCGTCTGGCATGGCTCTGAGGCACCAGGGCACCCTGGAGGTTGCCACTATGGAGCCAAGGCTCCAGGCCCTCGAGGGGCTCCCAGGCAGGTGGGGGGTGGAATGAGGTCAGGACTGGAGCTGAGGGAGGGGCCCGAGGCTGGGAGAGTTCAGAGGTGAAGCCCAGCTTCTGCCTGGAGGACGAGGAAGTCTAAATAGAGGAGGGGCAATACAGCTGGGTTTTGAAGGATGTGTAGGAGTTGGCTGGCATAGAGGGAGAAAGGTATTCTATCTGGGGAATGGGGTGCTACCAAGGCAGCCAGAGCCAAGCAGGCCCTGAAAGGCTGAGGAGGCTGATGATGGGAAGCCTGGAAAGGGCTTAGAGCAGGGGTGGGGCTGGGGGAAAGGGGGGGGAAGGGAGGGGAGGAGAGGGGGCCAATTGTCAGGTTGACAGCTACCTACGGATGGAGGCGGCCAGGTGTCTGGGACCTCGCCAGCCCTAACTGTGGCCGTCCCTTGCCAGAACCCATTCCACCTCCAGCTGGACTGGGCCAGCCCCCTGGAGACACTGCTGGATGTGCTGGTGTCTGTGCTGCAGGCACATGCCTGGGAGGACATCGGCCTGGCGCTCTGCCGTGTAAGGGACCCCAGTGGCCTGGTGGCCCTCTGGACAAGCCGGGCCGGCCGGGCCCCGCAGCTTGTGCTGGACCTGAGCCGGCAGGACATGGGAGACACAGGGCTGCACGCACGCCTGGCCCCGCTGGGGGCGCCCGTGGAGGGTGAAGCCCTGGTCCCTGCGGCCGTCCTCCTCGGCTGTGACGTCCCCCATGCCCGTCGGGTGCTGGAGGCCGTCCCCCCTGGCCCACGCTGGCTCCTGGGCACGCCGCTGCCAGCTGAGGCCTTGCCCACGGAGGGCCTGCCGCCGGGGCTCCTGGCACTGGGTGAGGTGGCCCGGCCCCCGCTGGAGGCCGCCATCCACGACGCTGTGGACCTAGTAGCCCGAGCACTGGGCAGCGCGGCCCAGGTGCAGCCGGAGCGCGCCCTCCTCCCCGCCGCGGTCAACTGCGGCAGCCCGCGGCAGCCGGCTGCACCAGAGTCCTCGGGGCACTTCTTGGCGAGGTGAGTGGGGACTCTGCTCGGGAAGGGTGGCCATGGCTCACAAGAGGCAACATTCATTATTGGGCACTTGCTGTGTACCAGGCTCTGCTTCTCCACAGTCCCAAAGTCACGACACTTTGCTGACAGATGTCCTAGGTCCCTGGGAGCAGCCACTGCTTCAGTCACTGGCTTCAGGCCACAGCGCCCAGGGGGTGATGCCCCAGCTGGTCAAGGGATCTCGTGGAGTTGGGGGGACACCAGTAGCGTCCGATCTTGCCCCGTGATACAGACGGGGCTGTCGAGTGATGTCGGGTGTGTGCTCAGCAGAGGTGAGGGGTGTGGGCTTCTCTGAGGGCTTCCTCTGCCCCAGCTGACACCCCCGTGCCCCGCCCAGGTTCCTGGCCAACACGTCCTTCCAGGGCCGCACTGGGCCAGTGTGGGTGACCAGGACCTCCCAGGTACACGTGTCTCGGCACTTCAAGGTGTGGAGCCTGCGCCGTGACCCACGGGGCGCCCCGGCCTGGGCCACAGTGGGCCACTGGCGGGACGGGCGGCTGGACCTGGAACCTGGGGGTGCTGCCGTGCAGCCCCCACCCCAGCCGGGTGCCCAGGCCCGGCCCAAGCTGCGAGTGGTGACGCTGATAGAGCACCCGTTTGTGTTTGCCCGCGAGCCGGACGAGGACGGACAGTGCCCGGCAGGGCAGCTGTGTCTGGACCCCGGCACCAACCACTCAGCCACGCTGGATGCGCTGTTCGCCGCGCTGGCCAACGGCTCGGCGCCCCGCGCCCTGCGGAAGTGCTGCTATGGCTACTGCATCGACCTGCTGGAGCGGCTGGCGGAGGACACGCCCTTCGACTTCGAGCTGTACATCGTGGGTGACGGCAAGTACGGCGCCCTGCGGGACGGCCGCTGGACTGGCCTGGTGGGGGACCTGCTGGCCGGCAGGGCGCACATGGCGGTCACGAGCTTCAGCATCAACTCGGCGCGCTCGCAGGTGGTGGACTTCACCAGCCCCTTCTTCTCCACCAGCCTGGGCATCCTGGTGCGGGCGCGCGACACGGCGTCTCCCATCGGCGCCTTCATGTGGCCGCTGCACTGGTCCATGTGGCTGGGCGTCTTCGCGGCCCTGCACCTCACCGCGCTCTTCCTCACCCTTTACGAGTGGCGCAGCCCCTACGGCCTCACGCCCCGCGGCCGCAACCGGAGCACGGTGTTCTCCTACTCCTCGGCCCTGAACCTCTGCTACGCCATCCTGTTTGGACGCACCGTCTCCAGCAAGACGCCCAAGTGCCCCACGGGGCGCTTCCTCATGAACCTCTGGGCCATCTTCTGCCTGCTCGTGCTGTCCAGCTACACGGCCAACCTGGCCGCCGTCATGGTCGGGGACAAGACCTTCGAGGCGCTCTCGGGGATCCACGACCCCAAGGTGAGCAGCTGGCAGGGTTGGGGGACTAGGCCCAGGCCGGGCTGCACTGGGGGGTCAGCAGGGTGTGCAGGACACCCACCCAGCCAACTCCTGTCTCCAGAGACACTTACTGAGCACCGAGTGTGTGCCAGGCTCTGGGGACCCAGCAGGGACAAAACATGGGGAGCTGACAGGAATCCAAGATAAATCAGGAAAACAGGTGATGTGGAAAAGGCACCACGGAGATAGGCGTGGGGTGGGCACGGGGAGAGTCCACTGGGGAGGGACAATTTCTCAAGGGGGAGGTTGGGGAGACCTGTGTGTGGGGTGACGCTGCGGGACTTTAATGTAGATATCAGGGAAAGGTTCCAGGCAGAGGGCACAGCCCGTGCAAAGGCCCTGGAGCAGGACGCATCTGACGTGTTGGAGGCACAGCATGAAGGCCCGTGTGGCTGGAGCAGAGGGAGGAGGGGGAGAGAGGGAGGAGGGAAGGGTGCGGGAGGGGACAGGAAGGTTGTGCAGGGTCCTCAGGTTGCAGGGAAGACTTGCAACAGGCTTTGACCCTCAGGAAGGTGGGAGCCATGGAGGTTTGTGGGCAGAGCAGGGGAGTACCCTGGTCTCCATATTTTATTTTCAATGAAAAATTTCGAATACTACCGAGTAGGATGCAATGAACCCTTTGGCTCCAAAATCAGCTCCCAGCTGGCTCCACCCACGCCCCACCCTGAACACTGCACCCCACCCTGACTGTGGCCGCCAACAGCAAGCATTGCAGAGACTCTGACACAATCAACTAGACCCCTGATTTCCAACTGCCTTTTTTTTCATGGCTTGTTTGAATCTGGATCATTCGATGCCCAGCCCTTGCGTACGGTGGGACCCCTCCCTTTTCCCTCAACCTCTGGTTACCCCCCCACCCCTTTAATTTTTGCCCTTGCAATCTGTTGGAGAAGCCAGGTTTTCTGTCCCACAGTGTCTCCCACCACTTGTGTCTGGTCCATTCTGCTGGCCTCCGGCGTCCCCAGCAAACTGGTAGTAGAATCCAGACGCTGCGCTGTCCGATGAGCGCGGCTTCAGTGGGCGCGCTCCACAGCCGCGGTGGGCAGCACAGGCACACGCAGAGCTCCCGAGCTGCTGTAGAGGCGCAGGCCCCGTCAGGAGGCATTGGACGGAGGCCAGATCCACTTGCTCCCAAGTGTCCTTCTGGGAGCTGCTGGGAGACTAGGGCCAAGGGGACCAGGCCAGATGCTGGGGCCTGGCTGGGTGGGGGTCATCCCCGGTGTTCTGAAGGTGGAGCCCCCAGGGTGTGCAGATGGACAGGGCGTGGGCATGGGGGTGGGAGAGGGGGAGGGAGGCGGGGAGGACAGAGGTGCCGGGGTGGGGGCAGGTGCAGGGGGCAGATCGGGAGTGGGGTCTTGGACACCCTGAGTGTGGGGCTCGCGTGGGACCCAAAGGGGAGGCAAGAACGCGGCGGTGGGAAGGAGTCGAGTCCAGGGTGAGGTCCGGTGGAGATGGACTTGCAGGTGGTCAGAACAGGGGGTCTCAACGTGGGTGTCTGCCCCACCCTAGGGGACCCTGGGCCATGTCTGGGGACATCTGTGGTTGTCACACTGGGTGGGGGGGTGCTCCTGGCACAGAGTGGGTGGGGGCGGGGACACTGCTGGGCGCCCCGCAGCACCCCCCAACAAGGGCCCAGCCCACTGTGGGCCGCCCTGAGGGGCAGAGGCAGCTGACGGGGTCCCCGCGCAGCTGCACCACCCGTCGCAGGGCTTCCACTTCGGCACGGTGTGGGAGAGCAGCGCCGAGGCCTACATCAAGAAGAGCTTCCCCGAGATGCACGCGCACATGAGGCGCCACAGCGCGCCCACCACGCCCCTGGGCGTGGCTATGCTCACGTGAGGCTCGCGGTCCGCGCGGGGCGGGGCGGGGCGTGGGGTGGGGAGGGTGCAGCGCAGCCGCTGACTCCACTCCTGGCACCCGCAGGAGCGACCCTCCGAAGCTCAACGCCTTCATCATGGACAAGTCGCTCCTGGACTACGAGGTGTCCATCGACGCGGACTGCAAGCTGCTGACTGTGGGCAAGCCCTTCGCCATTGAGGGTGAGGGGCCGCCGGCGGGCTGGCTGGGCGGGGCTCCAGGGGTCTCCAGGGAGCGGTGGGGAGCCACGGAGGGTGCAAGGCTGGCACGGGTGAGGTCCATGTGTGTGGGCGGAGTTCCCCTGGGGCTGCACACCACCCAGGCCCCACCAGGCCCCTGACTCCTCCAGGCTACGGCATCGGACTGCCCCAGAACTCACCGCTCACCTCCAACCTGTCCGAGTTCATCAGCCGCTACAAGTCCTCAGGCTTCATCGACCTGCTCCATGACAAGTGGTACAAGATGGTGCCTTGCGGGAAGCGGGTCTTTGCGGTTACAGAGGTGGGGCAGGACCCGGGACACAGGGCGGGGGTAGGCGTGGGGGGCCCTGAGCCTTGTCTGAGCTGGCCAACCCACTGTTCATTCCCAAGATGTGCATTTGTCTGATTTTTGCACACTTCTATTCGTCCTTCAAAACCCCAGCTCCGGTGTCCCTTCCTCTATGAAACCTCACTTCCAGCTATGGAGCTCTTGCCTCCCCACCCAGTTCCACAGCCCCAGCCCCCTCTCTCTGGCCCAACCTCCATCTCCCCCAGCCCTAGGCTCCGCAGGGTTTTGCCATCACGTGACCATGAGGGGTTCCTGCCTGTGTCACCCCCAGACCCTCCAGATGGGTATCTACCACTTCTCCGGGCTCTTTGTGCTGCTCTGCCTGGGCCTCAGCAGCGCTCTGCTCAGCTCGCTGGGCGAGCACGTCTTCTACCGCCTGGTGCTGCCACGCATCCGCAGGGGCAACAGGCTACAGTACTGGCTGCACACCAGCCAGGTGAGGGGGGTGCTGGCTGCACGCCAGCCAGGTGAGGGCTGTGGGCGGGAGGCCAGCCCGACCTCGTGGCCAACGGGTCTGTCTGGGATCTTAGAAAATCCACCGCGCCCTCAACCTGGAGCTGCCAGAAGGGCAGAAGGAGGAGAGGCTGGAGGCTGAGCCCAGGTAAGCGGGATCCTGCCTGCCCATTCCGTGGTCGCCGCCCCCCAGCCCACCAGCTCCAACACTTGCCCTGAAGGAGAAGCCCCTTGGCGCACCTGAGCTCCTTGCTGGTGGTGCCCTGCCCACTGGCCCCCCAGCTCTGCCCACACTTTGGCTCCGTGGTGGTTCCTGGTGGCGAACCTCTCCTCCCAGATGGCAGCGCGGGTGCGGCTGCCCTGGGAGGATGTTGCCCACCCTCGTACCCTGTCTGCAGTCGCCCAGAGGAGCACCAGCAGCAGCAGGATGCTCCAGCAGCGCCCGAGGGCTCTGGGGCCTGTAAGCGGGTGCGCCGGGCTGCTGGTAAGGAGCGTCGCGTGCGCTTCCTGCTGGAGCCCCCTGTGGCTGCGGCGCCGGATGCAGACGCAGAGGCCGGGACGCCGGAGGGCCCCGTGTGGCTGTGCTCCAACGGCCGCCCGCCTGCTGCGCTGGCCACAGGCCCCCCGCGGCCCGGAGAGCTGCAGGAGCTGGAGCAGCACATCGAGGGCGTGCGGGAACGCCTCCGCCAGGCCCTGGTGCGGCGAGGCGAGCTGCTGGTTCAGCTCGGGGACAGTGCCCGGCATCGGCCGCTGCGCCTGCTGCAGGCCAGAGCGGATGCCGGGGAAGCCCCCATCCACTCGGGCCCGCCGGGGAGCCGGGAATAGAGGCCGTGGCTTGGGTTCCTGTGGGCGCACGCACACACACAGACGCTGACTGGGCCGCTGTCGACAGTTTATTCTATATACAAACACAATTTTGTACACTGCAATTAAATAGAATGGAATGAGCGCGCCTCCGCAGTCCTCACCGAGTGATTGGCTTGGCCGTCTAGCCCACTCCCACCCTGAGCAGGGCTGACCCCTACTCCCGGCCCTGTGCTGATGCTGGCGCCTGCACCCCACATCCCCGTGCCCGAGGCACAAGCTCTGCTCTCCCAGGGACCCCAGGCCTGGCGTGTACGAGGGGAGGGGGCCGGGCGTGAAGGCACTGCACACGAGCACCAGGCAGAGCCCTGAGGCTGGGACAGCAGGAGGTAGTGCTGCCCGGCCCATCCTGCCCGCCCTCCTCGCGTCCACCTCGCTCACAGACCTGCACTATCTGGCTCTGCCCTCGGGATGCTTTGTTCCAGACCTTTCACCAAGCCCCTTCTAGAACCTTCCATGGAGCCCCCACCCCCTCTCCTCACTGGTCACCACAGACATGGCTCACTAGCAGGGACAAGCCCCAGGCTGGACCCCACAGCAGAGAGAGAGACCCCCCACCTCCTGGGCAAACCTGATGAAACCCTGAAACTACCAAAACAGGCTGGGCAGGCCCAGAGGAAGGGGGAGGGCCCTGGTGCCCCCACCGGGGACAGCCTCCCCCAACCCCATGGGCTGCCACGAGGTCACATCCAGCCAGCTGAGGACAGCCAGGGACAGAGGTGGCTCAGCTGCCGGTGGTGGCTCAGGACCCAACCTCCGAGGGTGCGTCCGCTGGGGCTGTGGACACCGGGCTGGGCGCGCTCCCTAGGGCTGCTGGGGGGACTGTGTCAGGTGCCAAGGAGTCACTCTGGGGGACACTGTCCTGGGGGGTGTGAGTGTGGGGGAGGCCCCCACCAGGGCCCAGGGGGGTGGCCGGCCGCCGCTCCAGGAGGGAGGCGCTCAGGCCGGACAGGAAGGAGGCATCAGTGATGATGGCAGCCGTCTCTGCCATCCAGCTCAGGTCACCACCAGCTGCTGCCGCCACCGAAGCTGCTGCCGCCACCAGGGAGCTGGGTGCTGCGGCCGCAGGCCCAGGACTCCCACCGGCACCCTGCGAGCCAGGGCCCAGGGCAGGGGGCTGGCCAGTGGGGTCGGGGGCAGCGGCCAGGGTGCCGGAGTTGTTGTTGAGGTCGTCGGGCAGCGCCGTAGGGGTCCCAGGGCCCAGGGGCGGGGTCTGCAGCAGCATCTCCTGGATGCGAATCTGCTGCAGGATGGCGGGCAGCTCGTAGTGGTGGAAGAAGTAGATCATGGAATGCTGCGGGCAGGGGCGGAGTCAGGCCGCGAGCCACGCCCACCGTGGACGGGCCCAGTGCTTCGCCCCAGGACAGCCACCGGGACCAAGACACAAGACAGGGGCTGGAGTCTGGGGACTTGCGCTGCCCTCCGCCCCCGGCTTGGCCCACCCCAAAGGGCTTCCCCTTCCTCGGAGTCCAGGACGTGGCCAGGCCTCACTGATCTCCGTCCGCCCTGCTCACAAGGGGGCGCACGACCTGGCGGGGTCACGGGTCGCAGGCAGCCCCGCCCGCCGAGCGGCCTCACCTGGATGAAGAGCCAGGAGGTGACCAGAGCCAGGCTGCTGTACTGCCCGTTGAAGCGGTAGTGGTAGGCGTAGAAAGCGAAGTGGTACAGGTAGAAGAACCTGCGGCCGGGGCACAAGGGCCGGGACATGCAGGAGGATGAGGACCTCCTAGGCCCCGCCCCCACGGGCGCAACCCCCAAGGTCCCACCCGCTACAGGACCCGCCCCGCCCTCACCGCAGCCAGTGCCGCTTGCTGGTGTTGGTGTGGCAGCAGATGGCGTCATACTGATCGGCCAGCCACACGATGAGGATGATGTAGAAGGCCGTGGTGGTGTCGTTGAAGAACTCGGACATGATGGCCTCCATCCCTGCGGGGACAGGCGGCGCCGGGTTGGAGCGGGCGGGGCGGGGCGGGGCAGGGGCGGCGGGCGGGTCCTCACCGACGAGGGCCAGGATGACGGTCAGCAGGGGCGCTGCGGGGAAGGCGATGGCCATGTTCATCTCCAGCATCTGCAGCAGGTCCACTGCGGACACAGGGCGGGCGCCCGGTGAGGGCCTGCGTGGCGCCCGCCCGCCCCGCGGCCGCGGGACACTCACCAATGAAGACGAAGATCTGGTGGTGCGAGTAGCGCAGCAGCATGGACACGCTCAGCGTCTGCGGGGAGCGCGCGTGAGGACGTGGGCCGCCCGCCCCGCCCCGTCCCCGGCGCCCCCTCCGCCAGGGCCCGGCCGCACTCACGAAGATGACCATGATGACGAAGGCGGCCAGGTAGGACGTGCGCGCCATCCACATGCTCACAAAGCGGTAGTGCTCGCCGGACACCACGTTCCGCAGGAAGCCTGCCGGGGCGAGCGGCCTCATCAGCCGCCCAGCCACAGCCGGCCCTCGGCCCTCACCCAGCCCCGGCCACGCCCCCCCTTGTTACCCTTGTTCTCCTCGTTCTCCGCCAGGCCCTTCACGCTGGACATGAGGATGTCGTCGTAGCCCAGGAACTCATCCAGCAGCAGGCGGCTGAAGCGATCCCCAAAGCACTGGTCCCTCGTGGGGTCTGCAGGCCGGCGGGTCAGGGAGCTGGGGACCTGGCCGGGGCCCTGCCCAGGCTGCTCCTGGGCCCCACACCAGCCCGAGGCCCAGCCGCCTCCCAGCCCAGGCTGGTTGGCAGGTCCCTGTGTCAGGCCCAGAGAAACCCCACCAAAGGACCCCAGCCCTGGGAGGGCCTTCCCAGAGCAGGGACTGCAGAGCTGCTGGCCAGCCCCTCCCCACCCCTGCAAGAGGAGACCCCAAGGGTGGCAGGAGAGGCCTGACCACACTCAGCTCCCCACGACAAGGCGGTCCGACTCACCCAGGGTGACCACCATGACCGGGATGCTCAGGCGCTGCCGCGTGGCCTGCGAGAGCCGCAAGAAGCCATACTCCAGCGAGTACTCCACGATGTACTCGTCCTGCGGCCACACTGAGGGCAGAGCAGGCATCAGCCCCGGCCAGGAAGTGGTTGAGGACCCTGAGCCCTGGGCCTCCCGGACAGATGCTGGGAGCCCCACCACAGGTACACTCCAGATGGCCCCCCTCCATTAGAAAGAGAGGCTGGCCAAGTTCCTCCCACCCACCCTGCTGGGGCCTGCCTTCCTGTCTGGGGCCAGCTGGTACAGGGCTGCCCCTCTGCTCTCTAGGGAGGGAGGGGGCCTGCCCAGCTGGAATGCAGGAAGGAGGGCCCAGCACACCACAGCTGGGACTTTCGGGGCTCAGGTGGGCAGGGCAGGGGCCGGCTTCCCTGAGCACCACAGGTCAGAACACACAAGGTTAGAGCTGGAGGGGCCCAGATCCCCTCAAAGCTGCCATTACAAAAGAGGGTCCCAGAGAGGCTGAGCCAGTTATCCTGGGCCCTGGAACATATCCCATAGTCTCACGTGCTGACAGATGGGGGAACCGAGGCACAGAGCTAGGCAGGGCTCACAGCTAATGCCCCTTTCTCCCTGGCCAGCGGGCTGCGACCCCAAGCAGTGACCTCCCAAGGTGACTGCCTGTCCCTCAGCACCCCACGCCTGGATGCGCCCTGCGAGGTGGCGTACCTTTGGTGGGCGTCTCGGGGAAGGGGAACTCTTGGCTGTCATTCAGGGCCTCGGTGCTGCCCGGTGGCTTGAACACCTTGGGCTCGATGTCCAGCTCAAACTGTGGGCAACCGGGGACCAGGGCGTCAGTAGACCCAGCCTGGGCCTTGAGGCTCTGACGTAGATGTGGTCCCTGGGCGCCCCCTTCTCCTGCTGACTGGAAGGTGTGATGACTCCCGAGCCTCAGTAGGACAGCCACCACCTCCAGAGCTGGCAGGCTGCTAAGCCAGCACAGACCAGGCCAGGGCAGACTTGTGTACCCCTAAGACCACGTCTGCCCCGCCACGGGCCGTCTTGGGGCGGGGTTGTGTGCTGGAGTGGGGAAGGGGGCTGAGCACAGGCAGTACTGGACGCAAGGCAGCCTCAGGGTATAGGAACCACGGGATCGGGGCCACCGGGCCCGGGTCTGCACCAACACCCCGACTTACGCCTGTCCCTGCCCCGAGGCAAGCGGACTTGACACTGGGCAAACACTAATTCTTGGGGTTGGCTTTGAGGGAACAGGAGGGACCCCGGCCCCCAACTAGCGAAGCATGAAGATTTCCCAACAGGCCATGGGGCCTACCACAGCCACCTGGGCCACCTCAGGATGGCCGGGACAGGCCTAGAGCTCTCAGTTCCCAGTCCCCAAGCCGCCTTCTCAGCTATTTGCTCTGGAGCCCCCAGGCCTCCAAAAGGACACAGCAGCTGGAGCAGGCAGAGGGTGGCTTATCTGTGTGCCAGACCCTGCGAGAGCAAGAACCTTCCAAGCAGCCAATGTTCTGCGGGCAGCGGATTGCTCCATCACACACACTTATTGAGCGCCTGCTGTACTCCCGGCTCACCTTGATGGAGCTGTTCCCAAACATCTCCATGGTCAGCTCCTCCTCCTCCTCGTCTTCCAGCTCCAGGCCGCTGCCTGGCTCCATGGCCAGGCCAGGGAAGCTGCCGCGGCCGTCGCCGTCACAGAACTGCAGGAAGACGGGCGCGCGGCTCGAGTTGTGCTGCACCTCGACGCGCAGGATGCCCTCGCGTGGCCACTTGTCGCGCACGTGCTCCAGGCAGTTGATGGGCGAGCGGGAGAAGACGATGTGGATGTAGGCCAGGACGAAGAGCACGAACAGCGCCTGAGGGGCAGCCGGCAGTCAGTGGGGAGCCCGAGACCCACTGCAGCCTGCGCCTGGGGGACCGCTCAGCAGGGGAGTGGAGGAAACCCCAGGAGGCCAAGTGGGGCTGGAGGACCTCCCAACCCAGGAAAGCCCCTGTGGCAGGGCTCTGGCGGCCTCGGGACTTGGGCAAGGGCTGGGATGGCACTGGGCCCCCTGGGGCGAGCCAGGACAAGGCCCAAGGACCGGAGCCTCCTAGGTGCCTGCAGGACACCTGCCCAGGAAGAGAGCCAGCTGGACTCAGGCAGAGCAGAGATAGGCACCCACCACCA